TCTATCTATCTATCTATCTATCTATCTATCTATCTATCTATCTATCTATCTATCTATCTATCTTCACTGTGTGAAGATCTTCAACATCCGTCCGTATGTTTACTTTGGGTTCAGGGAGAGGCCTTTTACAAGCAATACAATAATCTATACTGTATGTAATCCTCATGACAATAAAGTACCACAAGATGGCAGCATGAATCTACAGAACAATAGGAAAACAACAAAAAAATAAATTGTTATTATTATCTTTTTCTGTTTAGTCCACACCTACTCATTCACTTCATTGTTTTTTCATATTTGAATGATGTGAAAATAGACATCTCAGACTATGAACTTCAAATGCATTTTTCATTAAATTATTTATAGTAGTTTTAATGAAGAGACATCAAGAGATCCGTGTTCTGGCAACATGACAGCAGCCCACCTCATGACATTTACTGAAGCTCCTAGCATCAGTCTCCTAATAAACTGTTTTTATTGGCTGACTAACGTTTTACTTGCGTGGAAGAGATATGTGCTCTATTGGTCATCTAAAAAAATTTACAGTTTGTGTCACATTACTTGTTAATTTATTGTACAGATAAATATTTATAGGGCCTACCAGGGGGGATTTAGTGATTTGGGGGCCCCAGGCAAAATACAGGAATGGGGCCCTAAACAATTTCACACATTTATAACCTTGAGGTTCCCTTCACTGTTGCGATGCTCACTGCAGCACGAATGTGTTCGTGGTGCGTATTTAATATTCATGAGTCACGCGTTCCCATAGTAGGATGTGCGAATGCGTTGGGCTTTAATTAAATAAGAGTTGGTGAGCTGGGATAGGCTGGGAGTTCTCTCGGTCCAGACTGCAGGGAATCCGACGTGGACCATAAACCCGCAGAAACGGAGAGACAAACAAGCGAATGAGCAGAAGTCGATGCGGAAAACTTGATCCGATCTTCTGCCGTGGGGCCGAACGCTACATTGTATCTAAAAGTCTGAGATTATTGCAACATGCCACGGCGGACTGTACAAGAAGTAACTGTTCAAGACGTGCAGAAGAGAAGAAACCCCAACAAACACTATGTAAGTTGCCCGTGACTGACATCCGTACAGAACTTTTCGTAATGTTTTTGCTCCTAATGAAAGTGTTCAGGGATGCAGTGTTGAGTTTGTTTGGCTGGTTTGTGTGATCAGGAGGACCGAGTTACACATCAGCACGACACGCCAAAAGAGTTGCTACTCCACAAGTATTTCTGTTCAGCTATTGTAGAGTTTTAAACAGCAGAAGTGTCAGGAAAATCTGCAGACAGCAGAGGGTTATAAGTCATCTATACTGTAGTAACAGGGTTAATCCAGATGTTTTCACATCTGCATGAATGTAACAAAGACACTGGAGTCCATTAGTAGCTTAGACACACACACACACACACACACACACACACACACACTCTCACATCACACATGCACAGACACGCACACACATACACACACTCTCACACACACACATGCACACACTCTCTCTCTCTCTCACACACTCACACACACACATGCACACACTCTCTCTCTCTCTCACACACACACACACACTCACACTCACACTCACACACACACACCAACACACATACACACACTCTCACACACACACATGCACACACTCTGTCTCGCACACACACACACACACACACACTCTCTCTCACACACTCTCACACACACACACACACACTCACTCACACACTCACACACACACATGCACACACTCTGTCTCGCACACACACACACACACACACACTCTCTCTCACACACTCTCACACACACACACACACACTCACTCACACACTCACACACACACATGCACACACTCTGTCTCGCACACACACACACACACACACACGTATTTATTTACATTTGTAGCATAAGTTAGATTTTTGTAAGTTGAGAGTGGTTTTCATCTGTGAGTGTTTACTAACTTCTCTTGAGTTCTCTGCTGAGCTGCTGTGACTCCTCCGTGTTTCTCGAGGCCTTTTGTCCTGTTCACCACACCCTTAAAGTTAAAACACCCTTCAACACCCGTTAACCCCACTCTGCAGCTCTCGGAGGTTATTCTGGACTGGCCTGGGATCTGTTATTCAATGCTGTTTTGGCAGCTGTAGGTTTGGCTTTTCCAGTCCAACAAAGCCAAAGTTTTGTGTATTTGAATTAATCTGTTGCTGATCAGAATAGTAACAGATGTTTGAAACTTTTTCAGACGCACTTTTTTTGTTTCTAACTAACATAATGGACATGCATATGTTTATAGATTCATATGAGCATAAACCAGGAATGTAAAGAGATTTAAAGTGTTTCCAGGCTGATATTGATAGTTGATTAACAGCTTGTTTCAGCTGATATGATTACCAGTAATTGTACTTTGTTGTGTTTTAACACTTTTAACTGGAGCAGCTTATTACCACAAAAAATGTAAATATAAGTATTATTATAAATAATAATAGTCGTGAGTTTGATTTACGCTCCATATTTAGACCTTTTTGTTTTCTGTACTTTGATACAGGGGTGAATTTCACTAAACATGCCAAATATATGCCCCAGTCATATTTCACTCCCAACTCCAAAGTTTTATGAAAAAAAATATATATATATTTTTAGTAAAAAAAAAGTTTTATGTGTCGTATTTAATTTAATTTATGCTAAAACCATTAAAAACAGGGCAGTAATCATTTGTTTTCTATATTGCAGTAAAACTGTATGACTTTGACAATAATTAGTGTCTAATTAGAATCTTACATTGTGAATATTAAGAATAAAAAACAACTAAAAATGAATGTTTAGCTATGATATTAAGAACTTTGGGGGGGGGGGTCTGCTTCATTTGCATGCAAATAACATTCAAGTGTATTTATTTATTTATAAATGTTATTTTTTAATTAACATTAACTAATATAAAATTAAATAATTAATAATTAGTTATATTAATTTATTTATTAAAAATTATCCTGGTCTTAAACAGAACTGACAGTGTTTAAAACCCAATGGTACAATTTTAGATTCCTTTTTAATGAACATTGCTTGATATATAAGCTATTTACATGAATGCAGGGTGTGATTTGTTAAAAATAAATAAATACATAAATAAATAAACAGAGGGATATTTGAATAAGAATGTCATTGCTGAAATGTTAATGTACATATTTAGAATATTTAGATTCCCGGCACAAGACCACGGGAACCAGACGAGTCCTCTGCACAATTTGACCTGTGCTGCAGCCTGGAATTAAACCACACCATGCTGGTTTTGTCTGGTCAGAGGAGAACTGGCCCCCCGACTGAGCCTGGTTTCTCCCAAGGATTTTTCTCCATTTCTGGAGAAACATTTAGAAGTATGGTGTAATTCATATAAAATGAACAGTAAAAATACAGAACATATTCAAACTAAAATAATTGTTTAACTTTAATTTATTGACTATAAATGTATTTATACATTTTACAGGCCCCACGAGGTTTTAAGGAAAGCATTTTACCATTTCAAACATTTTGAACACCATCTTTCCCAATGAGTTTTTAGTATCTTATTACTAGGTTGCATGCAGCGCTGAAAATAAAACCTGTAACAAAAGCTAAAATGAAAATCAGTGCATCTCATGCTGAGGACAGTAATAGCTAGCAGCTGTTGACTTGCCCTTTAAGAATATTAGACCTAAAATTATAACATAATATTATTCCAATGGAAAGAATCTGTAATGCATGCTTTAATATATCGGTAGGAAAACTTACATCGCCATCTACTGTCAGAAATGGGGCATGCATGCCATCTGATCAGAAGTGAGGCTGGAAAATCCCCTTGAAAATCACACCAGCATGAATGCATTTGACTGTCATTTTTATCCGAAGTGAAGTACAGTGCATTCAGTTATAGATTTTGCCAGTATGTGTGTTCCTGGGAATCAAACTCAAGACCTTGATTTGTTCGTGGCATGTATGACTGGCTGGTATGACGTCCACATCATGAGCTTATTTTAGTCTCAGTTTCGCTTCTGTATTAGTCTTACTGCATTTCCAGTCAGTTTTAAAATAATGAAGCCACCAATTTACGTCATTCAGAACAAAACACCACATGTACTGTGCATTGTTGTCACTCTTAACAGCTGGATAGTGTGTGTTGTGTTCAATCTGATGGCATCTTCATAGCGGTTCTCAGAATGGCGGGATCTAGGAAGCCAGAATAAGTGGGATCCAGGTTTCAATATTACATAGAGTTATTATAAACATCGGTTATCCTGAGAAAATCCTGTTGCTCTCCTGGCAGAATACAATGTGAGAAAGCAAGTCGATTACTATAAACATCACTAATAGCCTATAAAACCCTGGATTGAGTCACACTGATCAATACAGGACCCTTGAGCTGAGATGTGTGGGAGATCAACGTTATATTCTTAGAGAAAATCAAGTATTGCTGTATTGCTCAAACAAACAGGTCATCGGTGAAGACAGGCCCTTTCTCCTACGGAAAAAAATCCTCCCTTCCCCCTCTACTACAGATGGAGGAGGAAAAAGCAGACTCGTTGTAAACAGGCAGAATGTTCAACATTTTAACTGTTTAAGGACCGATAAATGCCTGTTAGTTAGACCTGTTGAATAATGCAGTGCTTTTGCTGTGAAGCTGATATCTAAGACAAGCCAAGACAAGTCACCATAGCGCTGTATACCATACAGATTGTGTCAAAGCAGCTTTACAGTGTTAAACAGGAAAATAGTGTGCTGATAATGCAAGAGGACAATAGAAAACGTTCATTGATGAGTTAGTGATGCCATCATCCAGTTCAGCTCTTTTCTAATAGTGTCTGTGCAATCAGTCAAGCGTCCACAACTAAGCAAGCCAAAGGAACCAAAACTTCATCGGTGACAGAAATGGAGAAAAAACATTGGGAGAAACCAGGCTCAGTCGGGGGGCCAGTTCTCCTCTGGCCAGACAAAACCAGCATGGTGTGGTTTAATTCTAGGCTGCAGCAAAGTCAAATTGTGCAGAGGACTCGTTTGGTTCCTGTGGTCTTGTGCCGATGGTCTTCACACGGGATCTTTCTCTGGGTGCATCTAGTTGACATGGTCTCCGCTGACATTCAGGGCTGTAGAGGTCCTCTCTAGGCCCTGATCCACCATCTGATCTGGATACAGACTGGATCAATCTAACCTTGAGGTCATGAATGCATGAATTAACATTTCTGCATTTGACACTGAGAGCATAGGTCGTAATTTAGATATTTGTAAGATTGAAAAATGCATGACTTTCAAAGGAAAGATTGCTATCAAATAGCACACCTAGGTTCCTAACTGATGAGGATGAAGAATTGACAGAGCAGCCTGTCAGTAAGTGTTAGTCATTCAGATTTTTGGTCCAATAATTGACACCTCTGTTTTTTTCAGAAATTACTAGTCATCCAGTTTTTTATATCAGCTATGCATTTCATTAGTTTTGCGAATTTGTATGTTTCGTCAGGCCGCGAAGAAATATAGAGCTGAGTGTAATCAGCATTACAGTGAGAGCTAACACCGTGTGTCCTGATGATATCTCCCAAGGGTAGCATGCAAAGCATTTATTTATCTGTTCACAAGCATCACTGTTATGTTTGCTCATATTTAGAGCTGGGGATTGGGCTGCACAATGAATCAAAATAAAACCAAAATTGCAATATGTCTAAGTGCAAAGGGTCCTGTTTAACTGAATAAACATTAGTGCTGCGTGTTTGAGCACGTGAGCGGCTCGGTTCTCACGTGAATGTGGGAGCATAACATGTGCCAATTATCTTCCTATAGCCTACTTGGAATAAGTTTTTCTCAACAAAAGAGAAGTGTTAGGCTACCTGCAGTTTTATGGTTCAGTGTTTCAAAATAAAATTATAATATTATTTTTCTTAAATACTCAATTTTACAGTGTTATATTACAATAGTGATATTTCTTATTTTGTTTCTTTTTAATTGTGTTATATTTTATTTAGCAGTAGTAGTAATATTATTATAATAATAATAATTATTCATATTGATATTCATATTATATATATACAGTGTGTGTGTGTGTGTGTGTGTGTGTGTGTGTGTGTATATATATATATATATATATATATATATATATATATACACAAACACAGAAAGACAAAGCGACAAAGCAATATTATTTTTCTTAAATACTCAATTTTACAGTGTTATATTACAATAGTGATATTTCTTATTTTGTTTCTTTTTAATTGTGTTATATTTTATTTAGCAGTAGTAGTAATATTATTATAATAATAATAATTATTCATATTGATATTCATATTATATATATACAGTGTGTGTGTGTGTGTGTGTGTGTGTGTGTGTGTGTATATATATATATATATATATATATATATATATATATGCACAAACACAGAAAGACAAAGCCTAGTTTGTTCATATTAAGAGATTTATTTTAATTGTGCAACTTGTTTGATTTGGGGTTTGTTTTCAAATTTCTTTTTAGTTTTGTTATATTTCAATTTCACAAAGAAGCCTAATAAAACGACACCTTTTCATTTACAGTATAATGTCTCAATCTCATTTGGTTTAAAAAAATTGTGAGAAAAAAATTGAATTGTGAAATCAAAATCGTGAGTTGAGTGAATCGTTACATCCCTACTCATGCACAGATCAAATCCATTTTCAGTGTGTAATGGCTTAAATTATAGTCAAAGCTACCATATGGATTCAGATGGGATGTAGAGATGCACAGGTCACTAGAGACACATTTATGGTGCTTCTGCATCCTTTCTGAAGCTTGGAAGCTCCAGTCGTCATTCACTGAAGTTGCATGCATGGAAAAGAGCTCAAAGTACTGGTTACTTGTACTAGTCTGGAAAGATGAGGGTCATTAACTGATGTAGTTATCTTAATTAAATGAATGAGTTGTGTGTAGTGTACATAACTGTAAATCTGGGTTAACACTCTCTTTCTTTCTTTTTTACTCTAGGTTTACATTATCAAAGTGGCTTGGTCTGATGGCAGCACTGAGATCATTTTCAGGCGCTACAGTAAATTTTTCGACCTTCAGGTGAGTTTTGTACTAGTTGCAGTATTTGTGATGATGAAAATGTGAATCCAAATATCAGCATCCTTTATGCTTCATGGAGAACCTAACCAGCGTGGCCATTCTTTGCCAGTGAAACCTTGATGAAGTAATGCCAAACCCTGAGTTTGATGTGCAGAACTGAAAGCTTAGCAATCGGAGAGATCAACATGCATTTCACCGACGGCCACAGAAATGCTGAAGTTCATGTGGCAGGAATTAGATGAACTGTTTCAGTGCTGCGACAGGAAAAGTCATCATACTCATGGCTCTGTCTGAGAGAAGTGTGCAGACACGTACTTAAGATATCTGACCAGACCAGTGCACTAGATAGTGTAGAACAGTGGTTCTCAACTGGTTTGGTCATGGGACCCATATTTTCCCATGGTTATTAAACCGCCACACTATATATATCATTATTGTACACATATTCCATCTCTGAGCGCATGCACCGAAATCCTCCTGAGGAACAGCACAAGTTTTTCACGCTTTTAAAAACATGAATAAATCTAATAAACTTTAATAAATCAAGCATGTTCCATTTTGCGAAAGTCATGTTACATGATTTTACTGATTCGCATGTGCTTTTATGGAGGAGCAAATGCGCACTGCTGGAAAGGGGGCATAACGGGGCAGAATAATCGTTTTATCTCGATTATTGTATTTTCATAGGCCGACTGCATTTGGATTAAATGCACAGCTCTAATAATAGCTCTGGCCTGTTGGTGGACGTCTGCGCTTTACAGTATGGTACTGCTTAGTAGGGCTGTGCGATATTGAAGAAAAATGCGATATGCGATAACTCATTAAATAATGCGATATTCGATATGCGATACGATAATGCTTAAAGTGCCACATGCTCAGATGAAACAGTTCTGTGAACTTCTATAACTATCTTGTGTCATATATATATATATATATGGTTATTTGTATGTATGTACCAAGAGCTCCTGTAAAACCACAACAAATTCCTTGTGTTTGCGCACACTTAAGTGGTGGATAAAGCTCATTCTGATTCTGATTCTAATATAACTAGCATACATGTTTCACTTTTTGTGAGAAGAAAGCACCCCTACAACAACTCCTGAAAGTGAACGGTAGTGTTTTACTCGAGCATTACATAAAAATGTCATTTTAACATGAGTTTAGGAACTGAATAATAAAAAGGAAAAATACAACACTGCTTAGTATTTACTCTTTGAATTCAATATGCACTGATTCTTATTTAAGCTACAAAAGTTATTTAGGTAAGAGCAGTGAGTGATTTTCTCTTTGTCTTTTGTTCATGGCCACAAATATTGCAAGCCGTAGCGATATGTACATTTGCGATATTTCGATAATTTCGATGTATTGCACAGCCCTACTGCTTAGTCTGATGCTTCCTGACAAACACTTTTTTGATGCTTTGTCATCATAGTCACTGAGGTCATACTGATTGGGACTTTTCCTGTTTTGATCGGAGGAACTTCACGAGTTGTGCAATGACATCTCATCCAGAATCACAATGTCCTAGAAATAACACTTGCTGAAAAGTACTCAGATTCTCTGATGTTCTACCAACATTTGAGTTGAGATCACCAGTTAAAATAAATTAGACCGTTCAAAGCAAAACTCCAAGTTGATCTGAACTTCCTGTTTGACGACGGTGTTCAGTTGTGCTGAATCGTCCTCTCTATAGCAGCCAAAACCTTGCAAATAGTTTAGAACGGAAACCCACTATTATTAGAAGCACTCGGCACAACTGAAGCTATTCACCAAATTTGTACAAATGGTCAGAAGTCCCCGCGGTGAGCTCTGCCACAGCTTATATGCATACAACTCTACAAATAGTGAACTCATAGCTCTATAAAGGTTTTCTGTAATGGACTTTTAAGGAAAATATATTTATATGATATATTTTTGTTATAATAATTTATTTAGCACAAGAGGTGTGCATCAATATTCATTTAAAACAAAATTGACCTTGCTTGTCAGTTTGTATTTTTATTTTTTTATTTTGTATTTTTTTAAATATTAAAAAAAACACACACACAAAGCTAAGTGAAGGAACAACATTTCTGGCATTGTCCCAATCTTGGTTATATTAAGCCATTTACTAACTTTACGAATTTTACATCTTCATCGCCATGAAAGTGCAATTCCTTTAACCCCAAAATGACCATAAATGTCATGATTTTTTTAACAGCATTACATCTCAAATAATAATAATAATAATAAACATTTTAACAGAATAATTAACTGCTTTAATAAAATACTAAGCTTCACAATTCTCCCAAAATTGGCCTCATTTAATTGTAAGTGCCTCACTGAGCCCAAACTTGCATTCAATTACTATTTATTTTTAAATATAATAATCAACACTCAGCTTAAAATAAATTTATGCAAAACATGTAAATTGTGCACAATGCAGGTTTTAAGGTAACGTAACTAAAATTATAAAAAATTCAATTTGTTGTTGAAATATAATCATTTACGCAGTGCCTCTCATAACTCGTTTCATAACAGATTTATTTAAACATACATTAAATAATAAGACATCACTAACAGGTAAAGTAAAATATAATGATTATAAAGTCTAATATTTGGCGAAATGCTCTTCTCTAGACTTAATTTATAGCGCACTAACGAGCTGTGGACATGGATGACTTCTTGATGAAATGCTATGTGAAGTTTTGTTTACAAGCTGTTTTATTGCCGTCTTTCCAAGATTGAAACTCTGATTGAACGATTACACGAGGCGTGAGATGTTCATTCATGTTTATTTTGTGTTATAACTAGTAGTAAAGAGGAAGGGATGATCGCACTGCCGCTTGAACCGAGGCGTTTATACAGCGATCACATCCAAGGCATTTATTGTTAGAATTTCCTGAAAAAATTGACATAATTTGAAATATGAGACTTTGTTTCTTATCAAAAGTAACAATATATAAATCTGGAAGTTTCCAATGAAGTGCAGTGGTTAAAACAATGCTATATTTGTTCGGTACACATGCGCACCGAACCAAAAGACCGTACAAATACGTGTACTGTTACACCCCTACTGCATATAGAGCTTGACTTCTACTGAAGCTGGAATAGAATATTTATTTTAACTGACTATAATGTGTTAACCAAGCAAAAACCTCTCTAAAAAACTGATCACTGCTTTTATCTGTGACGTGATTCAAAGGAAGCTTTTGGTTTGACTAACTTAGTGAAATACAGTCATTTTGTGATCAATTTGATACACAATGCAATTAGAAACGCAGTATGATAAACTTTCGAATCATTCTCAGTGATGTACATAGACTTCGTTCTTGAGGTCTCTCTCCTATGATGCATGTGACTGCTTTAATGGCTTTTCCCTCAACTTTCCTACCATTTCTTGCAATTAGAAACGCAGTATGATAAACTTTCGAATCATTCTCAGTGATGTCCATAGACTTCGTTCTTGAGGTCTCTCTCCTATGATGCATGTGACTGCTTTAATGGCTTTTCCCTCAACTTTCCTACCATTTCTTTCACTCTTTGGCACTTTTTGCGCTCTGTTGTTGAGGAACTCTAGTGCTGATGCAGCAGTGAGGCAGGACATGCAGAGGGTAAATAACACGAGCTCTAATGTGTTTCAGTAGTGAAGCGGATCTTATGACACAGCCGTCTGAATGTGGTCATGTGGTTTCATAGTTTTGGGGGGTTTAGAGTTGGGAGAATTTCTTTGCAGATGGTGGAACACACCCTTTCGTCCATACCACGAGTTTTGGGATTGCGAGATTTTACTAATATTTGATTGATGGCATCACAGTGAAGCATTTCTTTTAGTTCAATTACTCTTTCATAACTTTATTTACTTATTATGGAAATCATATACTTTAAAATCATTTACCTAAGTGTAACTGAATGTAATGATTTCAGACACTTAACTGCATGTTATTTACAATTAAATGAAAATGTATTGTAGTTAATAGTTCATGCAATTAGTTGAACATAGAAGTTCTTTTTTGACCCACAATTGTAGGACATAAGCACACCTTTATATGTCATTTTATAATTATGTCTTTTGAAATATGGCTAAAGTGCACCGCTGAATATTGACAAGCATTTATGGTAACCAAAAATATAGTGCCTCTTCTAGTGAATAATATGTAGTTGTGTAGGATGAAAGTACAATTTAACAACAAAATATTAAAATCCCACAGCCTGAGGAAGGCTGATAAATATGAATAAATATTTAAAAATATATATATATATATTAATATTAATAAATATATAAAAAAAATATTTTGTGTGATGATGCAGGTTTGAGTACTGTGTGGTATTTACATACATTATAAATTAAAGTATTCTTTCTTTATTGAAACTTGTATGGCGTATTTAAATATGTTTGTAATTACACATTTATAATGTTAAGGATTTGAAATATAGTAACTTTAAATGTAATATTCAGTAACACACTACAGTTCAAATTAAAGTACTTAACATGAATATGTTAGCCGGCACATAAAAAAGTGTACTTTAAAGCATGACAAATGATTAAAACTATTTAAAATGTGTTTACAGTAAAACTTAAATTCAACATTATTACAAAGTGCATGTTTACTTAAGAGTGTTAAAAAACATAGTCATGAAAGTGGCCTTTCAGTTCATTAATAATATATGATCTGCAAGTACCGTTTTAAAATATATATACTTTTAAGAATTGAAGTACACTGCAAGTGCACATGCAGTACAGTTAAGTGCACTTCTTTTTCACATGGGACACTAGAAGTGAAAAGTGTGGATACCAGCTCATTTTAGAATAACAGTATCAACACTATCCAATGCCACAAATAGGGAAGAGAGTTATGAAGTAATCGTTTTTGCTTTTTTCTAGTTTCCAGCTCACAATCTAGACACCCTTTCAACCAACCAAAGATATTCATATAGACACTGATTCTATTTGCCCAAAAACAAATGTTAAAGCATGTGTTTTTTAGATCATGATAGACATAAATTGAGCTTAGTTTTCCAAACAGCTGAAGTTGAGCTGAACACGAGCGCAGGCATGGCTCTCAGACATATGGATGTGATTAGCATACATGGATTCCAGAGAGACCCGTGTCTGATCATCACATCAGACAGACGGCTGTCATACTGGAGGCTTTTCTCTTTATTCAGCAGAGGAAGGGCTGATTGTATGGATTTATCATAAAGGAGTCTCAGCTCCTCCTATAAATGATATAAATGAGTCGTGTTCTTGGCAGCTTTTACTTGTTCTCTTCTCAGTTCCTCACATCCACTGCTGTTGCTCTGATTAAGGGCTGATTTGTCTTTTCTTGAAAACACCGGGTCTAAAGAAGCGCTCTAGCATGAGGGGGGTTCATGAATGAGGCCATGTGTTTTAGTTGTAGTTAGGGTTGCAAAGGGGTGGAAAATTTCCGGTAAATTTCCAAAAATCCCTGGGATATTCCAAAAAATCCTGGAAAGTTTTAAAAATGTCTGGAATGTTTCTGAAATTTACTGGAAGTTTTCCATCTTTTTGCAACCCTAGTTGTAGTTGGTTCACCCAAAATCATAATTTTCCCACTTTGATGTCATTCCAAACCTGTAGGACGTTCCTTCTTCAGTGGGCCACAACATGAGGTGTTTAGCAGAACGATGACAACTGCTTTCCCCCAAAAAAGGTTAATGGAGACAGATGCTGTGAAAGTGTCAAAAATAGTCCGTAAGATTAAATGAAGCCAAATGCGCAAGAACCAAAAGTGAATGAGATTTGAAAGCTAGGTGTACTCAGTATTTCAAATCATTCCAAACCTGTATTACATTAATTCTTATGTGGAACATAAGATATTATGAGAAATGTCAAATTTTTTCCATTCAATTGCAGTCAGCAGTAACCAAAACTGTTACCAGCATTTTTCATAAGACACATTTTCATTTTTGGGTGAATTATGGCTTTAAAGGCCTGCTTTGCGTTGTCTGGGCAGTTGAATTGATAAAAATAAATCATTCCTTCCTTTTCCAACCCAATACTATTTCACAGCAAATACAGACAAGAAAATCACACTGTCATGGCAAGCAATTCAGGCAATCTCGAGGGAATCTTCACTTATTATCATAATCATTCAACAAGTAATCAGAAAACCTCTTACTAAAGTAGTTTATCAACAGTTAAGAGTAAGTGTTGGTTCTAATTTTTGGGTGAATTATGGCTTTAAAGGCCTGCTTTGCGTTGTCTGGGCAGTTGAATTGATAAAAATAAATCATTCCTTCCTTTTCCAACCCAATACTATTTCACAGCAAATACAGACAAGAAAATCACACTGTCATGGCAAGCAATTCAGGCAATCTTGAGGGAATCTTCACTTATTATCATAATCATTCAACAAGTAATCAGAAAACCTCTTACTAAAGTAGTTTATCAACAGTTAAGAGTAAGTGTTGGTTCTTCAATTTGAACCGTTTAAAAACTGATTCAACACTGTTACAAACAGCTGCTTCGTTTAGAACTAGTTGAGTTTAAATAGACAAAATAATGGCAATATTCAACTTTGTCTTTTCAATCTTTGGACCATTACATCATTTCTGTACATCCATTTGTTTTGATGACCTTGCAATTATTGTAAAATGTGGGAGACTGTAATGAAGTGTGAGTAGACGTGTCCAAATGTTGACTGGTAGTGTGCATACTGTTTGTAAAATTAAGTACCATTAAAATGGAGGTTATGTAACCCACTGGTCTATTGCAGTCTATCAAACGCCCACATGCATTGTATTGGAGACCACTGGACTGCGAAGTCCTTTGCATTATGAAGCTGTCAAGTTTTATTTTAAAAATGCGGTTATGTGGAGCTAAAAAAAATAAATCTCAGAAAAGGCAGACACTGCTTTGTTGTGGACCCAAGCAGCTCATTTGTTTGTGCGGAAGAGGAAAACGAGTTTTATCTGTGTGCTGTCATTCTGATGGTGCTGAATCACAGTAGAAGACATTGTTCATCAGCTTAATAAATGAGCCAGCAACAGTAAAAGCTTTGTCTGGCAGAATGACGTATCCGTTTGCTTCATCGTTAGTCTCGAAACAGACACGAGCGAGAACTAAGGCACCATTAAGGTTTAACGTTTAAATGTGTGCATTCCTTTGGCGTTTACAGCAAACGTGTATGTTAAAAACCAGTGAGGGTTTTTATTTTTTATCATTTCATTTGTTTTGTTTTTTGTTCGATTAGATAAAACAGATGTCATTTATTTAATTGCACATCCGAATCGGACACATTAAATGATGCAGTTCCCCTCAGCCTTTTGCGACTCATTAAGTCAACATTACATTTATGAGCAAAATTAATTACACCGCATAATTATATTATCTAACATGACCAACCTAGACTCATTAGAAAAAGCTAAATTTTTGCAAAACTCCAAAAACGTACATATACATGCATCTCACTGCAGTTTCTGGCTGAAATTAATACTAATAAAATGCTAACAATTTTTGTTCATTTTAAGTGGAATTTAGATTACAGGGTGAGTTTATCAATTAATAAACACTTATTTTTGTGTGATTCCTTTCAAAATACTATGTTATGACCTCATAACACTTGTATCGAAGTGTAAGTTTGGTTAACTAATACAGTTTGACATTTGCATCATATAACCAGCTCCATATGTATGGCTTTTCTGATATAGTAAACGTGCTCGGTAGCGCACCCGGTACAGCATTGCACTTGTATTGCAGAGCGATTAAAGACTTGTAGAAGCAAGCTGAAAAGGCACGGTTGCTTTAACAAATGCGTTTTTATCTCACATTTGCTCTTGTTAACACTATAGGTCAGATTTAGGGTCAAGGTTAGTGTTGGTGGAACATTATTTTCAAATGCAGTAGAACATTAACCTTTTAGCACCACTGACTGGATATTTCATAGTGTTAAGTATAAGAACCAATGAAGTAAAATTGACAGATTCACGTTCATCTGTTTGAATTACAGAATTACTGTTTGAAGGTGCTGTGAAATGTTTAGACAATTTTGCAGAAATGTCACCACAGTGAGCTTCCACCTATTCTTCCACTTGTTAGCTCTATGGCAGTATTGCATTATGGGTAAACTGTTGGGCCTATAGAACGGCTGTACTGGAAAACGTCGCTCAGCTGATGACTTCAAGCTCTGCTATAGTCATTAGTGAATGAATGTGTAAAATGCACATATGATCTACTTAAATGCTACACTTTGGAAAGGCACAGGTGTGGTTTCATTGGCCCACAGCTGCTTTTGGACTGGAATAAGGGCCTGTAACCAAAACTGTACAGATGGGAGGAAAATGTTAAGTGGTGCCAGCAAAGAAAAATAACGTATAGCTGCGAGTGAGCATTACGGGGCATTCAGGACCGGAGTATAAATGGAGGATAAATGTTCCACTATGTCAGTATGTCTATGTAGAGCAGGCCACGCATACAGATCAGGAAGGAGGGGGAGCGAGCATTTGTTGAATGGATTATAATCAGCAACCGCTGGTGCTTTACTGCAAAATCACATTTAGTTTTGCTTTTTCACAATCCAGTCAATTCCTGAATGATGAATTCAAGTCCTGCCCTACATTTGTTTTCTGTCTAGTTTTTCCTCAGAAGTGTTACACTGCAGAACTAAAGTGAGCTGTCATTGCGTGTTGATGTTAAACTTTTCTATATTATTGTTCTCCAGATGGAGCTGCTGGATAAATTCCCTGTGGAAGGTGGACAGAAGGATCCGAAACGCAGAATCATTCCCTTTTTACCAGGTAAACGTCATTGCAGAACGCCCCTTTCTATGCACGCATTAAAGTCAGTTCATAGTCTACAGAAATTCAGTTCAGTTCATTTGGCACAAAGCAATCCAGCAGCAGAACCGAGTGCCTGTGAACCACCATAAGCAAAGATTTCAAGTCAGCTAGCATTTAGATGATTGGAAATGCTATCAAATAGCTTTCTCCAGAAATTGGTGGACCTCCAGCATAATGGTTTGACTTTATGACAAGTATATACAGAATCAGCTTGGCATCATTTACAGCAAGTCCAGAATGTCACCGTTGATTCGTTTAGACTGAACACCTGGCTGTAATTAAGCAGCCTGGAAGGTTTGTTTGCTTGTGGATCAGACAGTCTACAAGCACCCGAATGTTGTCTAGCATCCCAGCACTTTACAACCATTTAACCAGAGTCTGGACTTACTGACACAGCACTTTGTGTAGAATCTACGCAGAAACCCCTGTAATTAGCTGAGCATCATGTACACCTCTCAACATCCATCAGTGAGCTCTGTAAACACACTCGTCAAAGATGTGATTGCATTGTACCATTTGTCCATTAAAAACAGATACTGACAGCAGTCTGAACAAGATAACAAGGATAACTTGTCTAGTCTATAAACTTTTTATTTTTTCTCATAAGTAACCAAGTAAAAATGTATATGTATAGAAGGAATCCAGAGGCAGGCAGAGACGAGGACTTTCAGTTGGCCAGATTCATTCGCATGCAGTGGGAAATAGATTAAAACTATTCAGACTAAAAATATTTCCATATAAGAAATGCAAATGCATGTGTCTTTCTGTACAGATGCTTCAACAGCAGTTCATTCAAATTCAAATGCCTATTGCATCAAATCATTTTCTTGGTGAGAACAGACCTTTAGTCATTTTAAATTCCAATTTAACAATAATTGCTTCAGTTGAGATAAATAATGCGTGACACTTTTGCAGTTAATTGCATTTCTTAGAGGTGTCATGCAGTAACCTGTTTACATGATTAAAAAGACCCTCACCTCAAAATCTGAGCACAGGAGCCACATGTAAATAAATACCAGATATAAAAATGGTTATCTGTCACTTGTCACTGGATCATTTGATGTGGCTGTTATTACAGTGTGAGCAGGGTTTGTTGTAAATACAGGGCAGTAACCCAACACATTACACAGACGCACCACATCACACACAACAAGGTGCTTTTCAGCCTCATTTTTCTGAATGTGCCGTTGCTAAAAGATCCATGACCCGCTGAGCCTTGGGTGGGATAGTCTAGTTATTTTCCCACATGTTTCACTTTATTATTATTTTTCACTTCTTTCAGCTAAAATGGACCACAGTATATGGTTTTAGTTCAGCAGGATATGAGTCAGAAAACTTAAGAGGCTCGTTTGTGTTCATTTCTTGGTATTGTTTTTTGGGCCGCAATCTTTGTTTTGGCAAGTCTCATGCTTGTGATCTTCCAGCATCTGATAAAATGGTTATAAAGCATGAAGGGACATTCCCAAGACTGCTTTTCAAACCCTGTAAAGAGTGCTGAATTTGAGAATGAAGATGCTGGCGAATGCAGGGTGTGTTTGTGATGATCGTCTTTATTTCCTAACAGGAAAGATTCTCTTCAGAAGAAGCCACATCAGAGACGTGGCCATGAAACGCCTGAAACCCATAAATGAGTACTGTAGGGTAAGTTAGAAAGCAAACAGTACACACAGCAACCATCTCACCTGTCGCTAGCATTACTTTTACACAGTAAAATTAACACAACATCCAATATTTTTATTAACAATATTTCAATACACAGCACGGTCCGTGCTGCAGAAGTCACCCTAAAAAAAAACATCCGGTTATCCTTTACTCATGTCATGACTGTGAAACACAAAAGGAGAAATTTAGCAGAATGTCCCAGCTGCTCTTTTCCAGTAGAAAATGACGCAAAGCACCATAAATGTAGTTCAGTAGTCTGCTGTAGCTCTGAAATCTAATGCAAGAGCAATATATAGCTTATCAGATTTGACATCAGTGAAATGTTCACCTTTCGTGACTAAACTTTGCATGTGTGAAAGTGGAGATTATATTTGACAGCTAATCTACAGTGAATGGGGAGATTTTTAGTGAGTAATGAGAGAAAAGAGGAAAAACCTAGTTCTTCGATAAATTGTCTTTGACGTTCATTGTATGTTGATCTACATCACAATTAAAAATTTTGGGGACAGTAATTAAACTTTTTTTTTTTTAGAGAGGATACTTATGTTCACCAATGCTGCCAGCAATATTATGAAATATTATTACAATTTAAAAATCATTTCTATTTTAATATATTTTAAAGGTGCAGTATGTATTTGGACAGCTAGTGGTTGAAATGCATACTGCAGTCCAAATTCAAATCATTAGAGAGAGTTGTTCTCCGCCTGCTCCTTCTCAGGCACGACGTTCACACGGGTTGCCAGATTTAGGACACGCAACAGGAATGAGTGCAATTGACAATGTTAGGTGACGAGCCTTACACTGTATGCTGATGAGTTGATTTATCCACGTCTTAATAAGAATCTGGACATAAGGCTTTTTCGATGGATGCCGAGGCTTTTTAGGATCGAGTGGAATCTGTGATGTCCGACTCAGTTTGTTTGCTGGCTTCAATGGCTGCAGTGCGCTGTGTTTTCCACCAACTGGCAACCCGAGCTGTCGAAATCCCATTGGGTAAGCTGGCAGTGGGCGGAGTCACACAGACCAAAACAAAAACAGACAATCCGACACGGAACACACATTTCAAAGCAGAATAACTGGCTCTAGTGTTATTTTTCTAAGAAACAATTATGTGAACTTTGTTTGTTTCCTAAATATCTGCAAACATGTATTTTTATGCTTTAGTACAGTAAAAAAAAAACTGATCAAAGCTGAATTTTCAGCATCATTACTCCATTCTTCAGTGTCACACGATCCTTCAGAAATCATTATAATATTATGATTTGCTGCTCAAGCAAGATGTATATTATTATTATTATCACAGTTAAAAAATGTTTGTGCTGCTAAAATGTGGAAGCCTCAATACAGTGTCAGTTATTAGGATACTCTGATGAACAAAAAGTTAGCAAGAACAGCATTTTTTATAGAAATATTTTGTAACATTTTAAAGGTCTTTACTGCCGTTTCTGATGTATTAAATGCATCCTTGCTGAATAAAATTATCAATATATTAAAAACCTTAGTGATTCCAAACTTTGAAATGGTGATGTACGTCTTAGCATTCAGCAAACTTGCTTTATATAAGAACATTTTCGTAGAAGTTTTTCAAAGTGTTAAGCAGAGAGATCACGTATAAATTCTACTGCTTCAAGCCAGTTTTCTGTGGTGGTCTGCGCTGTGAATTGAATTTGCTTAACATAAAAGACTGCTCTGTCTTAAGTAACTGTTGGGCTTTTGGTGGAAGGGTTAAAGAGGGGGAAAAAAGTCAGGAATCCACATTTGGCAGCGTAATGTCTGCTTTAGGGCTGGGGTTTGGAGCTGCGCTGAGTTAGTCTTCGTCAGCACATCATGGCTTTTTGTTGATTTTTTAAAGGGCTGTTTCTAAAGGAAACCGCTTTTTAAAATGTTGCTTCAAGTGTTCTGTTTTGAGGGTGCCTGTGTGAGCGGTCATGATCTGTGACTCGCCGAAGGAGGATTTTCAGTTCCAGTAATTCAAAGCAGCCCTCACTTCCCAGACACCCACTGTAAACAAGCAGTGTCATCATCAGCTGATGAATCAGTGCTGTCGCATGTTAGCTAGAAGAAATGATGCCGGCGCTGGATGTGCAAACATCTGTAAGGGAAACCGGTCAATTTAGCTCAAAGGGAATCATTTAAGATTTTAATTTGGACAGAATCACTGTTTTACGGCTGATCACCGAGACGGCCAGCGATTCATTGAACGAGCCGTATAACATCAACTCTGCAATGGATATTTATATCCAAAATATAGTGAAAACACTATTAATTAGCACAGTAACAAGATCGGCAGTTTAAGACATTAACTTGTGAGCATAAAACACAAGATACTTCTCTTTTCAATATAAATAAGGCTTTATTGGATAAATCTAAGACATGTAAACTAATCTAACACATGAACACATGCATTCACACAAGTTGCAAAAAGCGAGAATGTAAGGAAAGAATGAGTTTAAGGAAATTAAAATGTGAAATCTCAAGTTTACAGCAATATGTGCAATTGCATAGATCTGAACAACCATCAATCACTTAATTAACCCTCGCATTGAGTTCCTCAATGAGGTTAAAATTTATATTAAATGCACCAGTTCAGCTAGAATCTGGAGGTGCGTTCCTGTGTCCGGGGTTCCCTTTGATGTGGTCATTGCAGAAAAGGGGGTTTCCCGTGGTTGCTGATTGGCTGGAAGTTCAGTCTTGGGAAGCCAGTGGTTGGGCGTTG